TCAATATTCCACGAGAAATATTTAAGGATAGCCTCTGTGGTATAAGCAAGCAGGATCAAGTTTGTAAATTAATACAATTAGTAGATGTTATTATATGGGATGAAGCTCCTATGGATCATAAACATTGTTTTGAGGCAGTCCACCACACATTACAAGATTTAATGGATGGTAAATTTTCAAGAGCTAAAGAACTGCCATTTGGAGGTAAGACAGTTGTCATGGGAGGTGATTTTCGTCAATGCTTACCTGTCATCAAGAAAGCAACAAGAAGTGAAGTGGTAAATGCTTCAATTTGTAATTCTTTTTTGTGGATGAATTGTCAAATATTAAACCTTAGAAAGAACATGAGGCTGCTTCCAAGTCAGTTAACTAACACTCAAAAAGAAAAAGTAGAACAGTTTTCAAAATGGATTTTGAGTATAGGTGATGGAACAGCACCAGGTGTACAATGTGAAGAGGGTGAAAAAGGAAAATAGATTGAAATTCCTGAAGATTTACTCATTCCATTTGGAGAAAATGCAGTATCTCACCTCATTGATGTTATATATCCAGAATTTGAAAATCAACATGATAATCATACTTAAGTGAAAGATCAATTGTCACTCCAAAAAATAGCTTCGTAACTTACGTCAATGATTTGCTGTTGGATAGAATTCCAGAATCAGAATACATCTATTTAAGTTATGATTCAGTGGAAAGATTAGTAGGGCACAGCAATCATCAACCTTTGAATTATGCAGAGGAGTATTTGAACTCATTGGAGTTTGTAGGTCTCCCCTCACATCAATTAAAATTGAAAGTTGGAGCACCTATTATGCTGATGAGGAATTTAAAACAGAATGCTGGTCTTTGTAATGGAACAAGATTAATAATAACCAGATTAGCAACGAAAGTTATTGAAGCAGTTATACTTATAGGATCTCATGTCGGCAACCTCGTCAATATCCCCAGAATCAGTTTGAAACCAGAAAATGTTACTCTACCATTTGTTCTGAAGAGGCGACAATTCCCAGTGCGGGTGTGTTATGCAATGACTATTAATAAAAGCCAAGGTCAGACATTAAAAAATGTTGGTATTTACTTGCCACAACCAGTTTTCACCCATGATCAGCTCTATGTAGCATTATCCAGAGTGCAAGAAAGATCAGGTCTGAAAATAGTTATTGATAACAGCAATGTTCCTCAAAGTCCAAGATGGAATTATACGAAGAACATAGTTTATAAAGAGATTTTTCATAGCATGGGATAATTTCAATATAATATATCCAATTCATATTGCTTTTCCATACTTGCATTTGACATCTTTCAGTAGAAAATTTCAGAATCATTATCTTTGTAAAACTTTAATTTTAATTAATTGCAAAACTGTTATGCTTCCTTTTTATAGTTATTTGTTATCCTTGGGAATATTAATCCTCATAGATTATTTAGTCTCATAGATTATTTAGTCCCCCCTCCTATTGTCTTCCCATTTAAGTATTATGACCATGCTTCCTCAGCTTAGGCTAAAGATAATAACCCCACCAAAAATGGCTCATTTGTTTACTTTGGCTTTTATTGTAGAAGTTATTTACTCTCTTTTAGATTGGAGATGGGTATTCATATGTGAAGATTTGATCTTGAAAGTTATGTATTCTTGGTGGAAACTAAAATGGAGCATTAGTGTTTTTGTTGCAAGTTTTGGGTACCATTGAACTCTGCTACATGAACGACGACACCCAAGTGAGCAATCGATGTAAGACAAAAACTGTAGTAAGATTGCACCATTTAAAAGAATATGAACGAAGGAGAGAGGGGGATTATTATTAAATCCCATGAGTGATTATTATTAGAAATAAAATGACTAAGAGGTTAGGTTGTGTTATTCAAAGAGGGATTATTATTGCAAAGTATGAACTTCTGTATTATTGGCTCATTTATCATCTTTATATATATATATATAATGTTTTACAACATACCATTATGAATAATTGGTTTAACAAAGGGAACTTATTTTATTACTTAAATAGACAATAGAAATTTAAATAGCATAACAGTAAGTTCATAATAAAAATAATTAACATGATTATATTTTCACACCAAACCTAGAACACAATTTACTAAACTTAAAAATTCTAAACACAATAAAACTTAGTAAAAACATAACTTCATGAACAAAAACATCAAGAAACGCAAAACTCAAAATCAAACTTAGAAGCTTAACAACCAATTGATCAACTTAACATTGCTTCTTATACTCCAGTGAAAGCACCTGAAAAAATAAAAAAAATAAAAAAAACTAGTGGCTTAAATCTATACAGAAACTTGGGTACATGTTTTTAACAAGAAACAAGGAATAAACCATTTCAATCAATTCACCTCCTCATCATCTTCATTTTTAAGATTTATGACATCCTTTCGTCCCAAGTTTGATGAAGAATCTAACATATATAAATTTATAAACTACCAACATCTTTAAGAAATTTAAAAATACAGAAGAATATTCAAATGAATCAATTAATTAATTTTGAAATAAGTATAAACTAAAAATACTTACCATCAGCAGATCTCTTCCTTTTAATCCCAAATGTTGAATTTGCACCACCATTAGAAGGCTATAACCGAAAAGCTAAACCTTTGTCATTAAAAATATAAAATTGGAAGATACCATCTTTAACATTTATAAAAACAATAGTGTCACCATCCGCAATATGATTATCTATTACAAACTTACTCCATCCATTGCCAAAACCTGTTTTATAAACAGCTACTTCCCATTTATTGCCACAAACGCCACGAAGGGAAACAGTTGATTTATCACTAAGAAGTTCATCATAGATTTCTTTTGGGATACTCTGTAAAACCATAAATAAAAAAGCTAAAATAAAGATGAAGACTATTAAATTGAATTAATAATGGTATTCTAAACAATTATTAATAAATAAAAAACAAGAAAGATAAAAGGAAAATAAGAAAAAAGTATCATTTTTGCTGTACAATCTTTGAATACATATGTTAAGAAGCCAAATGGTAGCTTATCATGCACCGGATTACTCATCTTTAGAATTGCAAGGCTCAAGAGATTAACAAAAATTGATTAACAAAAACTTGATTAAATTGAGAACTAATTAATAAACTTATAAAACAAAGGTTAAACTGTTATAAACTATTTTTGAAGGTTCTGGAATTAGCACTAATCTCATCCAATACCCCATGTTAAAATAAAACTGCTCAATGAAGTAGGTCAATAAAAGTAACTTCTTCTATTTCAAATTTGAAAATGATAATTACTATTTATTCTTAACCTAAATAATTTTGAACACCAAAAATCAAATTTTGCTGAAGAAAAAGTAACAAAAATGAGTTTAAAGAGCAACAACAATAACAGAACATAGTAGACTTTCTAGCAAAAGCTTGATTAATCTGTTTGATTTAGTAGATTTTCTTATCACCTCAGCCGAATCAGTAGTGGAAATGGTTAAGAAAAATATTAGCACTCCTGGGATGGATAAGTGGGAAGAAATTACAAAGAAGAACAACAATGTTACTTTCATTTTGAAAGAAGACTATATTATTAAGAATATTGACGCAAAATCACAAAAAAATCGATTGAAGAAGTATTTATTAAATTAGAAAATTATCCGAAAGTCTGATAATAGAAGTGGATAAGTTCAAAATGACTATCAATTTTGATAGGATTATCATATGTATTTATTTAACTTTTGAATATAAGATAATTAGTATCTGTTGTTTATTTAATTAGATAATTAATATTTATTATTTATTTATTTAGATAATTAATATCTATTATTTATTTAATTAAGGTTTAGTTTATTAAGAACGATTTGGCATATTTTTAAAATTCATTTAAAACTATTTATAAATATTTAATCTTTTGAAAATTTAAAATAGTTATTTATACACTTCAATTATTAAAATTTAATTATTAAATAAAATATTTCAACAGTGCCTTACTAATGCTCAGCCTTTTTGTTTGGTGTCGACACCGAAATTATGTGTCAATACCATGTCCGTGTCGAAATTATAAGTGCTCAACTCTTCCGTTTGGTGTCAACACCAAAATTATGTGTCAACACCACGTCCATATTGGGTGTCTGTCAAACATTTAAGCTAAATCAATTCTAAAACTTATTTTATATTTTCATGCTTGATTACTTAATAGACATAGATTTATTTTCATGTACGGTTTTTTTATCTTTTTTTAGTAAAATAAAATAAAGAATTTTTAATATATACCTTAAAATGGTATTCTTTTATCATAAATAGATATAAAAAAATAAAAATTTAGTAGAAATCCATAAAAAAAAAAAAAAGTTGATTTAGTCTAGAAGAATTTTGCACAAACTTAAAAAAATTACAAAATACTTATAGTAGATAAATAGGTATAACTATAAACTTAGACAAAATATAATTTAAACAAAAGAAGAGAGGTTAAATACTCTAAGCCAAATGTAATTGATCCTCAAACAATTCCATTCAAAGTTTGTATTTTGAGTTTTTTTGTTTCATTTTTGTCTCCAAAATCTTAAATTTTCCTTTAAAAAAATATAGACCTTCTTCATTTTCTAAATATAAAATACAAAACTCATATTTAAGTTTCTTTAAACTGTCAAATAATTTTAACATCAAATATATATAAATTGTAAAAGGCAACAAATATACATATTGGAAATATATTTCAAACCTCCTCAATATTTTTACCATTAAAACCAATCGCACTCACACTTTTATTTGCATCTTAAGATTAAGAGACATCAATTATATAAAACTAAAGCAAACAATTATAAATCTTTCAAACAAATGTAAATAAAATCTAAATAATAATTTAAATTAATAAAATCATATTTTAATATAAAAAATTTACCATTATCAACCTCTCTCATAATTTTGGTTTAATAACACGGTCTTAAAAATATAAATCAATCTTAAAAATATAAATCAAAGTAATTAATAAAAGGAAAAGCAAAAAAATTAAAAACTGTAATATTTAGAATCAAATTGAAGAAATCAAAAATAGGAGAATCAAAGTGTCAATTGATGAAAGATAAGAGACCAGACAGTTTTCCAATGAAGCAACAACAAAATTGCATTTTGATCCAAAATCTCCGACACGAACTCTGCGTCCACTCTACAGTGAAGGTGTCAGTACTTCCTTTGAAGTGTCGACACCCTGAGCGATTTTCAGGAAATCGCAGCCCGTCTTCATCTCAGCGGAGGTTCCGGTTCCCTTCTCATTCAATATTCTAAAACCTTATAAATATACTTTCCAGATAAAAATTGATGAGAGCTTTTTGGAGGCTTTTGCTGCTATTTTGGAGCACTCTATAAAACCAAGTTAGAGGTGATAATCAATATAATTAATAGGTAAATATTATTAAAATATTATCATAAATATTAATAGTAAAAAAATATTAAAATTAAAAAATATATAATTTAGTAAAAAATTTTCAAATTCATTTTATTCTATTAATAAATTTGGAATACCAATTCTTTTATTTTTTTCATTAATTATTATTAATTCCTCTTTTTATTAAAAAGAAGATAACTAACTCACTAAAAGAACATAAACTCCTTAAATTAATCTAAATTTGGGTATTATTGCCTCCATAAATTATATTTAAACGAAGAAATTAGAAATCACAACAAATGCAAAAGAAATGAAAGGTTAGGTTGTGTTGATTTTTTATGTTTTGAATTATAATTATATTTTTTAATATTTTAATATTTTTATTTACAAAATTATCAAATACAATAAAAGAAATTCTCATCACAATAAATAATTATAATAATACTCAATCATTACTTTATTTATTCAATCATATAATTAAGAAATTTACAACACATATTAAAATTCAAGATAAACCACCAAAAATAGTACATACAAGGTATAAATATATTTACTCTATTATTATTTTCCTTTTAAATTTAATAGATTTCCTATTACAATTATTTAATTACCTTTTTTTTTTTTTGTGTGCAGAAAAACTT